CATAAAAAGGCCACCCCAAATTCGAAATTTTTTCGAAAAACATTTGATCACTGTTTAATTTAAACTCTATTTTCAGAAGCTGTAACCGATCCAGTGCCATCGACAGATGGTTCCTCATATGTGTACGCGGTTTTCTCGACACCGGACAGCAGTGTCCGAATGTCGGCTGTTTGCGCATTTCGCATGGAAACGATCAAGCGGGTCTTTGATTATGGACATTTCAAAATTCAGAAAACCTCTCAAAGTCTATGGACGCCGTACAGGCCGCACGACAGTATGCCTGTTCCGAGACCTAGTTCGGTAAGTTACCGGACATTTTTGAAATTTTGGTAAAAAACTGGCGATTTTTCTACAGATCCTTCGCGGTTTTGTATAAATTTTTATTGATAATGTAAGAGAAAATTTGTCGCAACAGTTCAGCTGTCTCTCTTTTTGAAGATTTGAAAATACTAGCATGAAGACGCGGTGCCTGATTTCAAGGTCCAAAAAGCTAATTTCGATAAATGCTAGATTATGTTAGGGATGGAACATGGGAAAAAACGGATACAGTAAGCGGGGCGCGAAGGGGAGTAAGAAGGGACGAGAGGAAGAAAGAGAGAAAAACAAAGCAGAAAACTGAAAACCTTTGAAAAAGACGCATTCCTGGGAAATTACTTCTGGTTAAGAAGCCCTGAATTCGAGACAGTTTTCTGAATCGCAGGTCTTGTTTTGATGCTTTGCACAGCTTGTTCAAAACAAAAATCTTACTATAAAATGGTAAAAATTCGTAGGATAGGAAACATATAATTTACTAGCAAAATAAATCCAGTTCCGTTGCAAGGAATATCTGTCCATTTGATCTGAAAGCTGCAGTTGCTAGGGGCTTGAACTCGAGATCCTGTCAGCTCCGTCGGTAAGACAATCAATCCCTCTACGACTCATTCGTTTCGATGGTAAACTGGTGCTGACATATCTCAGAGAATCGAAACAGCCATTAGTTTACTCGAAATAAATAATTATCGGGAGCTTCGCCAACGATTGGTCGCTATTAGCATCTGCTACTCACGGATAACTTCTTCTGAGTGCGTCCAAATGAATTACGGCTGGATTTCGAGTTTTTTCCACGTTAAACTAACATTCCGTAGATGCTGTACCATCTTGCATGAGTACCATAATTTCGTGTAGAAATTTGTTTTCAGTGTGTCGCGGATTCGTCGAAACTTTCTGAGAGCACTGTATCGTTCATAGCGCGAAATCC